GGCATGCATCTGTATTAAACATGCTGCCTTCACTCGGGGGGAGTGCAAAGGGATGTTGAAAGGGGTGTGCAGCTGTTTTTAATCCATCGTGTAATTAATTTGACTTTCGTTTCGGATTAACTCCCCGCCCCACAGAATGATAAGCACAAGTACACTAACACCGGATCAGATAGTCCATCTTTCGGCTTTTAGCTGCGGCTTAGACATAATCAGCCGCCGCGGATTCTGTGTAAAGTCGGCCGCGTGAGGATGAACGCGAGTTCTGGGACCACGAGAGCAGGTTAAACTTTTGAGATGTTCAGACCCAGCGGGGAGAGGATGAATGAACCGTGGCAAAAGACGACAGACGCAGTGGTCTGTGATAATGTGGCCTCGCTGTGACAGACACACACACACACACACACACACACACACACACGCACACACACACACACACACACACACACACACACACACACACTCACACACACACACACACACACACACACCGAGGCAGGCACTTGAACTCCAGCATTAAAATTCACATTCAAATCAAATGTTACAAACTGCGGAAGTGGGTCATGGAGTGCCCTCCGCTTGAGAGGTAACAGTCAAATCCATGATGTAAGACATTGGGGAACCATGAGAAATCACGACACACTGTAATAATACATACACACAGAATCAAAGGCAAATTAACCATGAATTAATATAAAACGGTTGTTGTTGGGCCCTCTTTTCATCGAGCTCAAAGCGCAGTTTAACTGAGTGGATGGGTGGAGTTTTCTTTCTTTAGGTATTTTGCTAGAATAACGCATTTCAAAGTGGACGTTTGCACCGTTGTGGGAGGGAACACAGCCGACACCTGACCAATCAAAGCGGTTCCCAGCTCATCCCTTAACATTAAGGGCGGAGAGAAGCGAGGAGACTCATTTCAAGTGCATTTAGAGTAGAAGGAACTGCAAGATGTCCACTTGCTGATGGTATCACGTAGGGCCACTGAATGTATTTTTACATGATGAATGAATGAAATATGACACACCACACACGTTCGCATCTGCCCGTGCCTCGATCAAATCCACCAAAATCATGGTTCACCACCTGTGCTAAAATTTTGAGATGATGACAATCTCGTTTACTTTTAGTCAACATCTTGCGTCAGGGGCGTGCAATCGAAAGTGGCGGAATACCTGTTGAGGCAGAGCTGGCTGCCCCTCTGCCGTCAACCCATACGAATACAATAGATATAAGAGGGCCTGACCGACTCCATTAGGTTACTCTATGCTAAATGCTAAGTGTCACAAGGGAAACCACAAAATAACACCAATACATTTAAATTACGTATCTGATTCATATATGCTCCACCAACATTTTTGGCCAGCTTTGCCTTTGCTATGTGTGTTTATACACACACACACGCACGCACACAAATACGATAATACATGCAAAAAGCTGGAGAATCTCTGTGTGAAACTCCCCTGAGCTCCCATGAATATGATGGCAGGGGTGTGAAAAACCAACAACCCCCCCCCCAAAATTATCATCCTCCTGAAAAAAATGCAGCTTCAGACGAGGGCCTGCCCGTCTGTGTCCGCACCGTGGGACTCACTTGCTCCGAAAATGTCCGCTAATGTCTGTTTGATAGACACAATTTTGGACATTTGCTACACTCCAAGCATTTGGACGTGATCGCCGCAGAGAGCGAGAGCGGCCTCCTCTCCCTGGACGTCATTTCCCTCCTGTGTGCAAACACCACATGCATTATTGAGAGAGCTCTGCAGCATTCTCGTCTTTGTGTCTCTCGCACACTGCGAGTGAGGTATTCTGGGAAGGATGGAAGCCGCGGACCATCAGAGACCCCCTTGACTGGGTTATTGCATTTTAAAAGCCACGAGTCACAATGTGTCTCAAGCAAGGGGGTGGGCAAAGTATGGCCTGCAGACTGCATATGGTCCCCTAGTATTTGTCGCATTCACTTAGCCTCTTTTTTTTTTTCCATAAAAAGGATTCATGAAAGGGGTGGCATGGGATAAAAAGCGGTTAGCACATCGGCCTCACAGTGCAGAGGTCCGGAGTTCGATCCTGGCCCAGGCCTTCCGGTGTGCAGTTTGCATGTTCTCCCTGGGCTGCTTAGGTTTATCCGGTTTCCTCCCATGTTCCATACACATGCACGGTTGGTTAATTGATCGCCCCAAAAAAAAAAAAAAAAAAAAAAGTCAAAACTAAAAAGACTAACTATAATGGCAATATCTAAAGCTAATGTAAATCTGGTGAGGACCCATTAAATCTGTATTTATTAAAGTAATTCATTTTCGATATCGACACTGCATGGCTGTTAGGAATTTTCAAATGCTAATTTAAAGTCAATAGATGTTATGACCCACACTTTGACCATTGAGGAGATTGTTGTTTTGGCGTGATTTTCTAGTGGGGCCGCACGATGGACGTAGCAGTTAGCACATGCGCTTCACAGGTTGAAAATTTGGATGTTGGGTGTTCGATTCCGTTGGAAGACAATCGCGAAAAACAGGCCCTGGTGCATCTGAGATCCAAATGAGGATACGCTGTGCTGGAAAGTAACGCATAGAAATGTTTTTATTTGATTTGACGAACTTTTGTGTTAATTGCAGCTAATAACAATGCAATTCGTGGAATTAAATAAAAATGATCTTCACTCTTAATTTTCACAAAGTTGTGAATAATTTTCAGTCTTAACTGTTTCTATTTGACAAGTTTTGAATGTGGTGTAAGCTAAAAACGCATCTACACGGGCATTTGTGGACGCACAAACAGGTCAAAAACTTGCAATTTCCTCCCTACACATCCTGCACAGCAGGGTAAAACTTGAGCCTATGAAGCAAAGCAGTTCCGAGTCATATTGTCTCTGAGATCCGCAGAAAGGATTCAGTCAAGTCACCCTTCAGTGCCTTTGCTGAAAGCAATCACCTCAAAGTAACTCGGGATTTCGGGCGCCATCTCAAACCCAAGCGCTTGCCCAATCCCTCCGCTTGGCCATTTGAGCCAACGTGAACCGTGACTCACAGACTCATCTGTGGGTCAAAGAGCCTGCGATGACTCACAAAAAAGCAAAAGTCTGTTCGAAAGCAGTAATGAAACGATGACCACCATTCTGCCCTGCGTTGTCTGATGTTTCTGCACAAAATGTTGAAAAAGAACAATTCGGTCGAATTTAAAGTATCGATAGTCCTAGCGTAAATTGCCGAACAATTGGATGACTTGTCCTTAAGGCAGCATCTACGGTAATTACATGGAATACATCCGTCCATTTTTTTGGATTAAATTTATGATGAGGAAAAGTGATACCAATAAATAAATAAATATAAATGGATCGCTGGATTTCCATGTGTGGCTTTGCGCATGCACCATCCATTAGCAGTCTGGACGCAGAGGGGTGGACTGCTCAGCATGGAATATCAGAGTCTCCAGAAGTCTGCTACTACATTTGTTGCGCGTCATTTTCCTCTTTTGAAATCAGCACCAGAAGGTGTACCGAAAAGTTGCTGAATAAACAAGTTGACAACACTGAGGAGCAGGTCATGTTGACCCATTCAAAAAAAAAAAAAAAAAAATCAAAAACGTGGCTTGTACACAAAAAGGTTTCATGAGTGAGACAGTTTTGAGCCGTGAAAACAATCAATGTGATTTATATGACTATATTTGAACATTTTAGACCAGTTAGTGAGGATGAATAGCTCTGTTTGTAGGGTCATTACATTTCTTCCGATCCTGAATGGAGATGAATAAGTGACATTTAGTTTCAGAGGCAACTACAACACTGCTAAACACTCAATTCAATGTGACACTTAGGGGGAGGGAAAGGGGGGTTATATATTTAGATTCTTTTTTTTTTTCAAGCTATTAAGACGAAAGTCTTCTGTGCAATGTCCCCGGACGACTTCGTCACGCTATCCATGGCAATATGCAAATAGGGGCCAGGCTCTTGATAAAGCCGTCTGTGCGAGAAATACAATTATATCCCGTGTTTCAGCTATCCCAGACAGGAAATGAAAAGCGGAACAAAAGAGAGAAAATTGCCAAAGGAGGTGTATTTTCCCCCACCGCGCGTGGTCGGACATTACAAATGGGAGTGGAAATCTTATCAAATGACAGATATATGCAAAACCATCCATAGTCCTGCGTGGAGCACGTCGGCTATTAAAAAAAAAGCCATTAGGCATTGTTGCATACTCAATTACACTGCTGCTCTTAGTTGGAGTTGTGTTGTCTTTACAGTTGCCATGGTAACCTCTGTCAAACTTTGAAGGCAGCTTTTAGCGGCGACTCCTCAATGGGGAAGTGTGATGGTTTGCCGGGTTCAGACCAAAGTAGATTTTTTAGTGGATGTTATTTGAAAGAAGCTATTATTCCAATTGACAGGCCAGTCATGGCAACGTGGAAGCGGTGTGCTGAAGCAAAAGTGGCATGATTTCCACATCACGTACGACAGGTTCGATGACTACTTGTTTGTCTTTGTTCTATTAAATGTTCATTGTCATCCCCCAATCGATCCAGTTATCTGTCTATCTGCCACAAGGCCGTCTGTGCATCGATCCATCAATCTATCTATGGAAACAGTTCATGATCCCAATGCATACCACACCATGTGTCAATTGATCTATCAATTAATCAAAGGGAACAGTTCATGATCCCACATTGTGCCAATCCACCCAGACTATGTGATTGAGAGATTTTACCTTAGCAAGCCTCAAAATCTTTTTTTTTTTTAAATTCGGTTTCATTTTACATGACTAGCTATGTATCCATTCATCTTTGTGAAGAAAAAAGAGATTGAGAGATTTAGCTCAGGGTTTAGATTTTTTTTTGTAATAGTTTTATGACACATTAGTAACCTAAAAGCTAAAAAATGTCGGCTTGTCTTCAGTAGTCCTTCAGGAAATGCAGCTTCCCACTACTGCAGTTCCGCAAAAAACCCAACTTGATGTTTGTTCCAATGAAAACACATTTTATAGCTAAATAAAAGAGAGAACAGATGTGCCTACCTGAGACTCAAGGACAGTCGTTCATCTTTGGCCCGAAGCAGATCGCCCACTGAAAATGTGGCACTGCCGAGGAAGCTACCCTGTGCAAATGAGACAAACAAAAACAAAATGTAATTCACACCTTTTGATTCAACCCTGAACATTAATTTTCTCTGCGCTGTTGCGACTCGCCCGGACACGGTCATGTTTGGCTGAGTGTGATGTAGACCAGTGGTCCCCAACCGCCGGTCCGCGGACCGGTACCGGTCCGCCGGGCATTTGGTACCGGGCCGCACAGAAAGAACTTGCCTTAATTCCGTTTTATTTATTTCGGAATACGAAAGATGTTTTATTTTGAAAACTTACCGGATTCTCCGTTACATCCGTCTGTGTCCAGCTTGACACACGTCAAGCCACGCTTCTCCGTAACGTGACCAATTAGGCTAAAAACAAACACCGGAGCTCGCAAAATGAGTAAAAAAACTGCTGGAGATCGCAAATGACGGCGGCCTTAAAAGTATGTTCGAGACAACTGGATTAAAGTTATGGCTGAATACTCTGAGATCGTCACAATAGCACTGTTGCTATTTCCGACATCCTACCTGTGTGAGGCGGGGGGTTTCTGCAGCAACGGCGACGAAAACAAAATTAAGAAGTAGACTGGACATAAACCACACACTTGAGGTGTCATTGTCTCTCCTATTACCCCGAGATGGGACCCTCTGGTTGCAGAAAATCAAGCTCGGTGCTGTGGTAAGTCGTCATTTTCATGCACTTTGAATTTGCGTTGTATCGTATTTTGAAGGCATTAAACATTGCCCTAGCGATCGGAGTGTTGCGGCCAGATTAGACGCTCCTTGTGTTTATTATTATATTTCGAAAACACCACAGTTTTCATGCAGCTCATACCATATTATTTTGTTGTATTATTTCCGCCACACCTTAAATGCCGGTCCCTGAAAATATTGTCTGACATATACCGGTCCGTGGGGCAAAAAAGGTTGGGGGCCCCTGATGTAGACGCTTCAAGGGTGGGTTAAGAAAAAGAAGCACTGTGGAGCCCATCAATAAGTGAGCTGAGACAAATTTACAGGAACAAACAAGGAACAAACAGTGGACCATTTAAAAGCCTTGGCTGAATCGTGCCAAGCACACTGAAGAGTAATTAACAGCAGAGGAAGACAAATAAGGTGAATACAAAAACATCACAATTAAAATATGGCAGCACAGCCCAACAGATTTGGTGAGAAATGACTGGCTTCGATTCAGCAAAGCCTCTCCAAACACCTCCTATTGTGCACTTTGGCAGATTCTGGCGAACAATTAACACTAATTACATATAAGCCACTGTTGAGTTTTTCCAATTAATTAACACTCAAGATGCAACTTCCCCGGCGAATTAATAACTGACACAATTGCTAGTTAACTGACGATTGTAAATGTGGTAGGTGGGGGAGGGGTGGTGTTTCACATCCTCAAACCATAACAAGTGTACAATTTCACGAGGATGAACACGCCTTCATAATTTGGTGAGTTTCTGAGTGTAGGTGATTGAGTTGATATGCATTTGACAACTAAAAAATTTCAAGTAGGGCTTCACGCTGCATGCTCAGACCCCAGGAAAACCACAGACTCGCATAAAGTAGCCCACAAATGCTCCATATATAAAATACTTAATGAAAATCTTAGATTTTTCATAGATTTAGTATGTCCAGTTGGGGGATTGAGGAAGCCTTCGTTTTTTGAAGTACCCCCACAACCAAATCTAATCAAGATCGCAGACTTCCTGTGTCATTTCGAGCATGGGTTCTTGCTTTTTTGTGGGTCTACTAGACAGAGGTAAATATTTTTGTACTGTTGAGTGAAATGGAACTTGGGGCAGCGTTGTTCCAAACAAAGTTTTTCATTGTAGGATCGGCCTCATATTCGTGATTTATTCGGCAATAATAGCCATGAAGATGTAGCTGACTTGATCGGCATTACACGTAGATCATTGGGTCATTCGTGGGACTTTTACACAATGTAGCTCTGTTACACCAACAATGGCAAGTCACATCGTTTGAGGTTACTTCGGCTCTGTGCGGTTTGAACTTTTCAATCTGGCTTCCTTCCTTAAACTAAATGCTCTCTCTGTCTCTCTCTTGCTCAGCAATAGTGCATCAGATTAAAAAAAATAAATGCATCCTGCCTACTGACCTTTCCTTTCAATCATTTCCTCCTTGAGCTTTTTCCTGCTCCCCCTCGACAAATCTCCACACGCGCTTAAGGCCAAACTGCGCCCGCACGTAAAGAATAAGAGAGGACGAAAAGGTCAGTCAACAAATGCAAAAAAAAAAAAAACCAATAAGATCACTTGAGGTTTGTCATCATAGCTGACTGACCTGAATATTGAACATGTCAACTAACGACCCAAGTAACAAACTAGCCAAATAGCCAACTAAATAGCATGCTGACGACCCAACGAACTATGTTGCCATTCAATGATCTAATAAGAGTTGACAAACAAAATTAACAGAATAACTACCGGTAGTCATTTACCCATTTAGGTAAGTATAGATACAGTCATTAAGCTTACTAATTATCTGTCTTTAAGTGACAAACCAACCACCAAACTCAACAGTCATTGAGCCTAAGTCACTGTGTCCACGAGCAGATTAAATGGCTAGTTCACTTTGTAAGTGAGATCGCTATTGACTCAACAAAAACACTACTAACAAAAACAAACTGACAGGACTTGAGGTTTGCCACACAGAGTGGTCATGATGGTTGCGACACGGTGATCCTAAACAGGCTTTTGAGGGTGTCTCTTCTCCATGGGCCGGCCCCAACGTGGCCCCCGCATAGCCCACGAGGGCATTACACGGGAACATTACAGCCCACTGTAGCCATTACTTACAAGTCCATCTTGGAAATCCATTCGGTGGCATCTTTTTATGGCCATTCACCGTGAATGCTTTAAAAGTAATGAAGCTCCAGAGACCCTCCCTCGCAGGCGGGAGATCAAAGCGGCCAGGCGGGCGAGAAATGAGAGGTAAGATAGGGACCGAGAGGAGAAGCGAAAGAAAGCACCAAGGAAGACAAATGGCGCACTGGTGCAGGATCAAGGAGGATTGATTATGATGCGCCAGAGCTTCGGTCCCGATCCATCTTTGCACCTGCGACCAATAGAATGTGATTGGTTCCGTTTGGCAGGCACACAAACTCATCTCATTGACTCATTTAAAATATGAAATGAAACGAGCAATGACTGCTTAACTAATATAAGAAGCAACAACTTAGAGGCCAAACAATTCAAAAGGGAAAAATCTTCACATGAGGTTCCACTCTCTTTTCTGAAGCAATGAAACAATTAAAAAAAGCTAAAACACAAAATAAAACTGCGAACTACGGTTGTAACAATATCGAACTAATTGACTAAATGGGTGGCTAACACAAGAACTAGCCTTTAAATTAAAATGACAATTAGCCACTTAGTCAACGACTAGCTAGCGCAGTATCAAACATCAAACCAACCAATCAACCAACCAAAGCCGTCAACCTAACTAAATACCTAACTATGCGCTACTTTGAAAATGAACCAATTAACCATCTATACAAATAAATACATAGCCAGCTAAAGAGATAACCAACCAATGAGCCATTTAGCCATGTGAATAACTTATTAACTCGCTAGCTTGGTAACAAACTACTACCTGAAACAACTAACAAAATACAACCATAGATACCCAGCCGCTTTGTCAACCAGCTAACCAAATAACTCGCTCACTAACAAAAGAGCAATTTAGCCATGTAGCTAGTTCAGTAAGACAACTAGTCAATTAGTTTGCCAAATAACAAATTAACTAACTGACTGATTAATTATTAGCCAACTAACCATTTAGCACCAAATTCAATAACAAATTAGTGATTTGGTAAACAAGTCAGCTAAAACCACTATTCCACTGAGGGATGCTACAGTTTTTGACATCCAGTGTAAATAAGACCAAGGTCCTTTTAAAGGCCAATGCCTCAGTCTTGCTCTCAGTTGGCAGAAGTTAATGCTCAAACTGTAAATGTATTGATTCCACACACCACACACGTCAGAACTGTCCATCATCCCATTCCACCTCATCTGTCTTCTGGAGGACAAGCATTCACACCGGGCCAGCGCGTGACTTGAAACATCAGAGGCAGCATGTGATTCTTATTTATGAATTATGAGCACATTCATACCAGGAAGTGTCAGCAGCGTTGTCTGCACTAATAAAGCGCTCCTTCCTTCACCGCAAACAAGGCCGAGCTGGCTTGTCCTCATTAAGTCGTTAGAGATGTGGTGAAAATGCACGTGTACTCTAACGAGTAAATGTTTGGACAGCGCCGATTAAAAATGAACTAATGTGGCAGTGGGGAAGAAGAAAAAAAACACAGTCAAACAGCTCCATGTCAAATGTATTGCCATTGGATGTTTTTGATGTTAAAACATTAACTGTGGACACTGATGCCTTGACGTACGTAGAATTTTTTTAACAAGAAAATTAGCATTGCAGAACAACATCGAGTAATAATATAAGTAAATTGATTCGAAGAAACGATGCATTCTGATTTGATTTGTCCTGCAGGCAAAAGATTTTCGCAACCTCTATTTGTGATTCGGTGAGCTGCTGTAAGGGTAGCCGTTTTTCGCAGAGGATAAATAATACATGCCTCGAGTATTGATATATTGGCTGTCTGATGCACCGTTTGTGTTCAGATATCCCTTGCTTGAAGCGTAATAACACCGTTGGATAAATGCCATTCGTTAGGCCATTTTTGGCGTTTTGCAACAACTCATTTAATCCCAACCATTTTCACTGGAGCAAACCCCTCAATCTGAGCCGTTTTACTGGATTCTGACCGACTTGCAAGGCCCACAGATTATTCTGTTCTATTGTGATATAAACATGCAATCTACCAAAAGAAAGACGAGACTCTCTTCTGTCAGCTGGGAAAGGTTTTTTTTTCCTGTTCTTTAGCAATCAGCATTATAAAATAGCTTAATTCCATCAGATTTCCATTTTCTGGGGGAAAAAAAACTTTGTAAAAGCATGCATTTCAAGTATAAATTCTAGTACCACTATTTTTT